CGAAGCCCAAGAGTTTGTTTTTCCCAAAGCAGAGGGGCTGGATGGGCCAGACTGTGTGCCGCTGGCCTCGCTCCCCACAGTGCCTCAATCCCCACCGCAGCATCCCCCCAGTTCCCTCAACTCGCCCGACCTTCTGTCTTCTCGGTTTCCAGGAAGCGCAGCTGTTGGCAGCAACTGGCCGCTCCTTCCTCCTGGCCGCAGGAGGGGCCTGGGCCCCTGCCAGCCCCGCCATGGGCTTTGTGCCAGGCGGGTTGTGCAAGGAGCCCTGCGGACACCCCGGCCTGGCGGGCAGGACGCGTGGAGTGGGTCCCAGAGCCACCCAACACCCCGTGGCTTCGTCTCCTCCGCATGTCGGGCTCCACAGAGGAGAAGCTGCTGGCAGAGCAGTCCCTTGCTGGTGTTTCGGGGCTCAGCACGGAGTGTCGTGTCCCTGGCGAGAGGCAGCAGCAGCATTTGCCCCTGTCCAGTGGGCAGTGCCCTTCGCTGGAGCGGGCAGCACAGTTTTGGGGCTTCCCCAGAGGGGAGCAGATGGAGCCCCAGAGGGGAGCAGATGGACTTGGAGGGGTGAGGTCCCTGTAGGCAATGCCGGCTTGTGCGTGGTGCAGGCTGGATGCGGGGCCACGCTCCTGGCCGTGAGCCACCCCAGCATGCTCCGGGCTGTGCATGTGGCATGGGGCGCAGAGCTGCCCAAACCCATCCCTGCCTTCCGTGTGTGTGCCACATCGTGCTCAGGAGCCGGGGACAGGGGTTCATCCTGCCTGCCAGCCGCCCTGGCACAGCCCCCCAGCACACGTACCCCACGGCCTGGGCTGGCCTGGCCTTGGGGAAGCAGGCAGAGCAGCCCCGTGCGGCTCCCCCCTGCTCCGCTGCGGAACTGCTTCTGGTCCTTGGGAGCACTGGTAGCTCTCCCATCTGCAGACCTTCCTGAGGGGAGGTGACTGCACCAGCTTCCCACAGAGCTACGGGAGCTGCCTGCCGGCAGCATCCATGGGACAAGCAAGGGCACGCGGCACTGCTGGTGGAGGGGCTGGGTCTGCTCCCAGCCTGCCAGTCGTGCCCTGGATTGAACACAGACAGGGTGCTGTCACCCCCCGGGGCAGCCCCGCTCCCCTCGGCAGGGTGGCAGGGGCGCTACTGTTAGGGCATCTCAAGGCATCCGGTTGGGGGGTCCCATCTACAGCCTTTTAATGAGGTTTTTCCAGGCGGGAGGGCTGCCAGCACGTCGGGAAACCGGGGCATGCGCAGGAGTTGTCCCAGTGCCTCCCTGGACGCCCCCAGTCCCCGCAGGA